CCTATCCCCCTGATTATCCTCCTCCTCTGTCTCCTCATACGCCTCCTTCCCTGCCTCATCATCATATGCATTATCCTTCTCCCCGCTCCCTCATCCATCCATCCAGCCTCCCTCTCCTCGCCCCTCCTTCGCGCGGTTCGGCGATCCCCTTCTTTGTCCCCGCTCTTCCCTAATCGCCTGAGCTCGCCCGGGCTGGAGGGGCTGGAGGGGGCGCGCGAAGCGTCGAGAATTCCCTCGCGCCTTCGTCACCCATTGGCAACTAGGGAGGGGGATGAGCAGGAGAGGGTGACAACGTTGCGGGGGTGCAAATGAGAAGCAGTACAGACACACCGACTAGAAGGCAAAGGTTTTTGTAACACAAATAGAACCCAGAGTGTCAGCACTGTGTTTGAATGCCCAACTCACCCCCCTCTCCCCCGACCCCTCGATTGCATCCTGGGGCCCCCAGAAGCGCCCTCGGAATCCGATCGGAAGCCCCTGGCGCGCGACCTGGGGGCGGCGGAGGCCGAAGGCCGCTGGCGACGAGTCCTGCCACGAGGTTTGATTCGTGAGCAACCCAATCTTGATCAGACAGCCTTCGGGCCATGTTGGCGAGCTCCGCCTAATCGTGAACTGACAGGCGGCCGTGTGCCATACCTGCAAAAAGGGCAGAGTAGAAGAGCCGCATCCCTGAATGCTCTGCTCTGAGCACTAAAAGGGTACGGACAGGGGAAGTTGACACGGACGGGCATAAACCACCCCGTCCCAGACGAAACGCAACTTCTCAATCTAGCCGCGGCAACGCACACATTGTTCAAGCTGCGTCCAGCCGCGGGGACGAGGGGGCCCCTGAAGGCCCCTTCACAAAAAAGTCGAATCTCAAGTCTAGGGCGCCTTCGGCCTTGGACGCGAGGCAAGAGAGCAATGCCAGGATGCAGTTCAAGGACCTCGGACCTCGGCCCTCCCTCGAGCGCAAGGGATGCGTGGTAGATGGGCGGCATGGTGCTATAGTTCTTCCACGTTGGGATGCAGGGTGCATCTCGGAGGCGCGAGGACATGCACACTTTGGCATGCAACACGCTTTGGGCCTGGTGGACGGGCCTCTTGGACTCGCCCCAGGGATCTCACGAGGCCCAAGAAACATCTAAAAAAGTCATCCTTGGTCCCAAGACAGCTGTGACAGATGTCCGCATTAAGGCGAAAACATAGTCCTGCCCTCTTGGGGCCGTATTGGGGCCCTCTTGTGGCCATATGACGGCCCTCTCGGGACTTGTTCTATGTTCCTAATAAGGTATAAAAAACATCTTTGGCACCAAGACAGCTCAAACACATGTTCGCATGAAGGCAGCAACTAGCTCCAGCCATTATGGGGCCGCCTGGGTGCCCTCCTGGGGCCGTCTGGCGGCCCTCTTGGGCTTGATCCATGGCCTTCATCAGGCCTCTGGAAAAGCCACCCCTTGGCCACAGGACAGCTCGCACAAATTCTCGCATTAAAGCGAAAATCGGTACCGGCCAGCTTGGGGCCATCAACCCTGTCGGGCTCCCCCATAGGACTCTTCCACAAATTCTCGCATTACCAAGCGAAAATCGGTACCGGCCAGCTTGGGGCCATCAACCCTGTCGGGCTCCCCCATAGGACTCTTCCATAGGACTCCCCAAAGGCCCCCGCCCCTATTGAACTCACCCATCCGACCCCCCCATCGGGCTCCCCTACAGAGCTCACCATAGTGCTTCTCCACAATACTTCCCCATGGGGCTCCCCCACATAACCGCGGCCTCATAGGGTTCCCCCATAGACCCACCGCATAAGGCTCACCCATTAAACTCCCTTGTAGGACTCCCCAATCGCCCCCCCCCCCCCCTTCCCCTCTGGGTCCCCCGTGGGACTCCCCCGCAGGACCCCGCGCCCATAGGGGGGGGCCCCATCGGACTCCCCCACAGATCTCCCCAAGAGGACTACCCCACAGGACTTCCCCATAGAACGCATTTGTAGGGCTCCCTCAATGCCCCCGCCCCCGCACGCGCCTGGACCGCGAGCGGCCAGCCCCCAAGCCATGGCCGCCGCGCGCAGCGATTGTGGTGACGTCTCTTTTCAGGCTGAGAGGGGGGGCGCGGGGGGAAGGACGGTGTGGCGTGTGTGTGTGTGTGTGTGTGTGTGTGTGTGTGTGTGTGTGTGTGTGTGTGTGTGTGTGTGTGTGTGTGTGTGTGTGTGTGTGTGTGTGTGGGGGGGTACTTAGCGCACGCGGCGCCGCGCAACCTCGCTTCGCGCGCATACACTGCAATGCCATTGCAATGAAAGCAGCATCGGTGGACAACATGTGTTGCAATGGGCGGGTGAAGTTGCCATCGGGCGACGGATGGCGATCATGTGGTTTCAAAAGTTGTTCAAAAGTTGTTCTCAAGTTGTCCTCGAGACCAAAAGTTGTTCTCAAGTTGCTCAAAAGTTGTCCTCCGCGATATCACCCAGGCGATCGACATGCAGATTGTTTCGAACGTTGCCCTCGAAGTTGGTCTATGTATCCTAACTGCGAGCCTAGTTGCTTATTCACCCACCACCATGAACACGAGGACGATGGATGATGCGAAGATGGTCAATGGCGAGGGGAGGGTGAGAAAGGACGGGGGCGAGGATGTGGATACCCTGGGGGAGGGTGAGAAAGGACGGAGGCGATGGGAGGGCGAGAGGGGAAGGCGAGAAAGGAGGTGAGAAAGGACGGAGACAAGGGGATGGCGAGAGGGGGGGGGGGGGGAGGGGAGGGCGAGAGGGGAGGGTGAGAAAGGATTGGTGCGAGGGGAGGGTGATAGGGGAGGGTGAGAGAGGACGGGCGCGAGGGGAGGGTGGGGAAGGACGGAGGCGATGACCAAGGCGATGGTGGATGCCCTGGTGGGCGCACTTCCACTCCGCAAACAGAAGGGGCCACGGAAGCCGCGGGCCGCGGGCAACGGCTAAGAGGGGGCAGGCGGGATTGCCGTCAGGCATCCTTCAAACCAAGGAGACTTGCATCGCAATGTACCGCGCGCCAACACGCTGCGCTGCTGATCGGGCAACGAGGCACGCTTAGTTCGATGGAGCGGCCAGGGGGCAAAAACATGGAGGAGCTCAAGGGTGGGACTTGGCGTGGACAACCCTCCTAATCATAGCGGGGGTCGGGCGCCCAAGGAGACGTCCGCGCGCGGATGCGAAACTGCTGAGGATGCGGCTTCCTGTCGAAAATACGACCGAGATAAACACGTAAGCCAACTCGTATTTCTTTGCGGCGTCAATAGTGCGTGCAACTCTCCACCACATGCCCACGTTCAGCCCGCATGGAGACGACGCGCGCATAGCATGGCATTGCCCTCGAATCAAATATATACGTATGTGTGTATACATATATGTATACATATATGGTGCGTATACATATATATATATATATATATATGCAAACGGCATCATATAGCATATCATCGCCGTCGTATATTGGTACGAATGCGTGCATCTATTAAGGTGAAAATACTGATGCGTACGTATATATGATGTACGTCACAAGCTGACCCCGCGAAACCGAACCCGTCTGGGCCCTTCCCCCCTCGCAAACCCTCAGGGCCCCGCGCGGGACGACCAGAGTGCCGCGACCACGCCATTTGGGCGACGCCACGGGGGCGTCGCATCATTGGCGAGCTCCTTCAGCGGCGCCAGACCGAGGGCGAGCACCTTGCTGAGCGCCTCTGGCCACGTCCATGCACCCCTGTAGTTTCTGTTGCGTTGCTCCCCATGCGCTTGTCCCGCGCGTACCATCCCCATCCGCCCATTCACCCTATCGGGGTCGGCTGCCCACGTGGCAGCGCCTTTTTGACCAAGGCGACCCAGCCGCATTTAGCAAGGCGCGCGCAGGTTGGACGCGCATAGGCGGCAGGGCGTGCTGATCGCATCAACTCGCGAACCCATTGTCGGCGACGCAAGCGCGGCAAAAGCAAGGTCGCCGCGCCCGTTGGGGCGCATGCCGCCCGCAATTGTCGCCCGCGTGCTTCGTTGCCGAGCGGGCCCATTCAGCGCAGCAGCAAGATCAGCACATGTGGCAGCGCTTTCGCTCACGCCGATTCCTCGCGCGCGCATGGAGTGCAGGTTTTTTCGGGCAATGGCATTTCCAGTCATGCGCGCGCCGAAGTGGTAGCATCTAGGCGGCTGATCTCAGCGGGCCGCGTCTGGTCAGCCACGTCCGCCTGGCAGCGCGAGTCGGGCCGCGCATGCGCGGCAACGTGTGCGGCGAGCACTCCCGAAGCATGACTGGCACGCGTGCTCTGAAGCACCCGCGCGTGGACGCGCAACAACGCGCGTGCGCGCAGGGCGCGTGCCATCCACGTGCAAGCCCATAACACTTCCAGCATCGTCGATGCAACCAGGCTGCGCGAGGGGCACTCTTCGCATGCCGACCCCACGTAGCGCGCAAGAGCCGCGCGTGCACCGAGCCATTCGCGCAAGGCCGTGTCATTACGAAGCGCGGTTGCGCAAATCTTCGAGCCAAAATGGCCACGCGAGCGGGAGGGCGAGAGCGAGAGCAGGAGGGGCTGCGGCAAGGGGGCAGGCAGGGGGGGCGGAGGAGCGGGGGAGGGAGTGAGGGAGGGAGGGGTACTTACGGGGAGCAGAAGGGGGGACTAATGCAGCAGGGGAGGGCAAAAACTAGGCAAGGCTAAGACGGGGCCGGAATCGCAACAGCTGCAATTATATACACGTGTTCATGCGTTTAGCCCCCCGTTGCTTTTACCACGGGGATGGGGGCGGAACTTCAACCGCAACGCATGTGCCTCGCACCGTCGACTCTCGAACTTTGGGCCCGTCCTGAAAGATTGATTCGCCAGGCCAGCCAGGCGATCATGATTGGAGTGGGTCATGCGTTAGAAGACGTTGGCAAACCTGCGAAAAGACATCAGATCACATTGATTTCTCGTTTCTCCACACGCCATAGATCTATATATGGACAGGGCGGCGGCTTGTCTTGGCCAAAATGGCCAGCCGCTGAGAGCACCGTCTCTCATTTGACCCGCTTCTTCGCCACAACCGACTCGGCCTCGACGACCAAGACCTTCGGCAGGTACGGGGTGTAGTCATCGCCCTTCTTCAGCCCGTGCACCTCCCGCAGCTGCAAGATCGCCTGGCGGACAGCATCGCGTCTCTTGTCCACGTCCTTGTCCCTATCCTTCTAAACCTTCATGACCTCATTGATCATCGCGCAGGTGAGCTTCGTAGTGCTGGCAGCCTTGATGTCATCAGCCATGTTCTTGCTCTTGAGATCGATGCTGAACATGGTCTCCAGCTTCTGTGTGTTTTTGAGCTTCTCCTTGCACTCCTCGATTGCGGCCTTCATCTTGCCTGCGGGTAGCTTCGCGAAGCTTGTCACGAACTTCGCGTGCAGCTCCTCCCACTTGGTCCACTCCGCAAGCGGCTTCTCTGAGGTGAGCCAGTGCGCATCCCCGCCAGCAGCATCACCCAACGAGTACCGATTCATATCTATCACACTCGTGAGATTGTCCTCGACTGTGTACTCGCTGCCCTTCTCCACCAATGTATTCAGCATGGACGTGGACCTGTCCATGGCCAAGAGAAGGTGGTCGGCCAGGTCCTGGCACACCAGCGCATTGCTTTCAGAGGGCTGGGATCCCTGCGGCTCCTGGTAGAACTTCAACTTGGCGAGGATCTTACGTAGATGAAGCCCCGCGCGCGACAACGTCTCAGCGCGCTTCTCCCACGTCGGGTCCCAGCCATCCGCGTTGTTGTACTAGTCTGAAGCGAGTTTGGTTTCATGCATGCACGTCAACGCGGACTGGATGGCTTGGATGATCGTCTTCTCATGGACCAGGTCGGTGCCGTAGTAGAAAGGCAGCGTCTCGACAATCGAATCAAAAAATGGTGCACCTTCAAGTCCAGAAGCTCGACCCTCATGCTGCTGACCTTGGCGATGCAATCCTTGAGTATGCCCTGGGTCTCGGTCTGGAAGAAATGCTCGGTGACCCTCGCCTCGACAAGCACAGAGGCTAACTGATGGCGACTATCTTCTGGCGGGGCGTTGGAGGAATCGAGGGCGCCATTGATGCCGACGAGAACAGCTTCGAACTTCTTGGCGAACCTCGCCTCGGCAGCACTTTTCAGCAGACATCCCAACCTCGCAGTCATGTCGTGCGTCCAGTCGCCCATCGGGAAAGCTAAGCTCAGCTCGTGCACGATCTCCTGCACCGCCTGTGTTGTAACCTCCTTGGCCTCGGTCATCTTGGCGTCCTGCGCGCTGTCCACGCTGTAGTCAAACAGCATCTCCACGTGGACGATCATGTCGAACCATGCCTGCGCTTTCCCATTGATGCTCTCTGCGAACGGCTTCAACCAATCGCCAGCGTGATCCGCATAGTCGGTCAATAGCTTCGCAGCGTCGTTCAAGCCCTGTCCAATGACCGAGCTGCTTGTGTTGTTCAGCTTCTCGTTGATCTTGCAGATTTCCTCCATCACGGGCTCCATGAAGGGCATGTCGCGCTGGATCTTCTCCAGCTGCTCCTTGTAGAAGTTCGTGCGCATGCGCGCGCTGGCCACTGACAACCACCACCCCGAGCCCTCAGTCTTCGAGACATCGATGAACTCTTTGATTATGCTGGAGTTTGCCGCTGCCTGGTCGAGCCCCCCTGATAGACAATCGAATACTGTGTTGATGTCTTCGACCTCGCTGACCATTTGAGCCTCGGGCCCGTTGAGATCCAGCTTGTCGACCTGCTTGATGTGCTTGCCGGGTGCCTGAAAGAAGAACTGAACGTGCTTGCTGTACTCCTTTCCGTCGTAGATGCGGGGAACGATGAAGGATGTCAAGACAACTTTCGTCCACGTGTCAAACTTCGGCCCATCGGCGACCTCGATCGCGGCGAGCCTCGGGTGCTCTGGGTCGAAAACCTCCTTGACCTCAAGAGCGAGGGGTAATAGAGTCCGAAGCAACGAGCCCACCTGCTGATCCGTAACGTGGAGTCTCGTGGGCTCAATGTACATCTGGATGATATGGCCCGCCTCCTTCACTGTCAAAGAGATCTGGGTAGAAATCGCGATGGCAACGCCTTTGGCCTTCAGGTTCGCCGCAATTCTGAGCACCTTCTCGCGAGGGAGGGTCGGTAACGATGCGGGCAGCAGTTGCAAGCATTCATTGGCAAGATCAATGTGGTCCTGGAGTTTGGCGCCAATCACCTTGTGCTCATCCTTGGACGCCAACCTTTTCATTGCTTTCTCGGCGCCCCCGACTGCGCGGCCCCAGCCCCCCTTGATGTCCTCCGCCATCATCCTCGTCAACGGCAAGCGGCTGAGCTTCCTCTGGTAGAGCGCCTCCCCTGAGGAGGTATGGAACCACGCGTGCGAATGAGAATATCAGGAAGGCTGGGGAGAGACGGGGGCCCAAACTGGCACGGCTAGGACGGGTAGAAATGGGAAGTGGCACGCACGAATCATTGCGTGCTGTCCTTCACTGCCATCTTGGCCCCGCGACCCCGCTGCCCCCCCCCCGCACGCAGGGAGAAACCCAAAACACAGCCGACGCAAATCAACTAAAAGTTTGAAGTCCGCCGCCCTCCTGCCCCCCCCATCCTCCTCCCCGTGGCCCTCGCCCTCTCCGTTGCCCCCCATCGTCGTCGCCATCCTCCACTACCCTCCTCCTGAACCTCATCCCTCCCCCTTTTTCTATCTACCTCAGTAGTATATTCCTCCTCCCCAAGCGCTCCTCGCGCTAATCTTATCCTACCCAGGTCTTCCCGTTATTCTCAGAGCGCTGTATTTCCAAACCTCCATGTCTCAAAGAACCCTGCATCTATATTCCACGAACGGCCCGAGAGCCTTCCAACTTGAAGTCCTGCACTTCGTCCTCGTCGCCGAAGGCGGTGCCCGCTGCCGACTGGCCGCACCATGAAGGGGTCTTACCTGGGGATGGATCCCCAGCACTTGCACCAGACCTGCGGGATGTCTTGACCGCGGAGCCGCCCGCGTCAAGATCGCCGTCGTAATAAGGCATGGTGCACAAGGAGGATGACCGTTTCAGGTTCGCTCGGGCATCGCTGACCAGCTCAGCGAAGGTATTGTCGTCAATCTGCGAGGCCCCGTCGGGCGACTGAGCCAGGGCACTCGCGTGGACGGCGGCCTCCAGCTGCACATCCTCGTCCTCAGAGTTGACGCAGTCCTCGACGATGACCGTTCCTCCTCCCGCCGTCTCACCCTCAGCACCGAGGTTCGAGCGCGGTAGCTTCTTCACCTCCCTTGTCTTCTTAAACTCGTCGAGGGTCTGCATGGTGCGGTAAGTGTCGGCCACGCCGTTCAAGCCAAGCTGCACGTCTAACTCGCGGGAGGTCTTCTCGGCCATCTTGCATGCTTGGCCACCCCAGAACTGCTCAGCCAACGCGGACTGCTCGATCGAAACGCCGATGGTCTGCACCAGGTTCCCCTCACGAAAGGGCCTAGAGGGGTCGCGGAAGCAGAACAGCTCGTCATAATCGGCCCTGCTCGCCGAACCCGCACTCGAGCTCGGGATCATCATTGATTGTTTCGGCATCTTGACGGTCGTGATGCTCTTAATGTGTTTGGGCAGCCTCTGCCACTCCATCTCCCTCATGAGGTCCTTGGCTGTGAGTACGACCACGGGGGTCTTGAGCTCGAGGGTCGTGGAGGCCGTCTTGTGCACTTGGGAGTCCTTGGGGGGGGGATCAGGCGACATGCCCTCCCACTCCTCACATTCCGCCTCACCCGCCGCTCCCCTCCCGACAATGCTAATCCCCCCCCCCCCCCCCCATCCTCTCCCCATCGGGGGAAGGATGATCGAGGGAGGGCGAGTGGCATAGGACATTGCTGGAGAAGGCCGAGATGGGGTAGGAGGACACGTTCGACGTCCTCGAACTGCTTCTTCTCGCCCTTCATCACCTTCACCACGGTCTGGATCTCCTGGTGCTGCTCGGGGTCTTTCGTCTCAATATCGCAGAAGTCATCCCAAGAAAGATGCTGGAAACCCTTCTGGTGAACGTCGCCGCAATCCTCGCATTTGTCGCCAACGGGCTGCTCGACAACTTTATCGCCCTGGCTTTTGACAGCAACGGTCCGGACCTCGAACCATTTCTTCTTACTAGACAAAGCATTGCACTTCTTGCACTTGAACACCGTTCCCACTTTCACGATCTTCGGAGCCTGCTTGAGCGGAAGGACCTGCTTGACTCCTTTTGCCCTGGGCGCCCTCCTCCCGCCACCGCCGCCGCCGCTGCGCGCGCTGCCAGCGTCGCTGGCACGCGCCAGCCACCATGCGGTGGCAGCCACGGTAGAACAGCACTGGTCTGTATTGGCCTTTGGACAAACGGGAACACAGAGCTCCTAACGTGGCTTGAACCAGAACATCAAACCACAGTGGATATGAACTTCCACGCGACGAAGGTAGTCGAACGTTGAGTAAAGAGAACAAACAACCCAATCGGAATCACACCGGCCAGCCAGGTGGGCTCCGCACTCAATGCCGAATGCCACGAATGCGTCGAAGCCACGACCCCGAATAAACACAATCTCTGAAGCTTTGCGTAGCACCCAAGCCACATGCAAGATGCGAGCGAACCCTGTGGCCTGGATGATGAAATGCTCTGGGAAAATCAACGTGAAATAACAGATCCGCCTCCAGAATCGGAGTACCCGCGGCTGAACCGCTCTTGTCTGAGAATGCAGCATTGACGGCGTGTGAGTATATGCGAGCGTCTGTTATGTAGTTCTAATTCCATGGCCCATGTGCAGCCGTCGGGCAACGCAACGAAATTCAATGCGCAAGACGCGTGGCCTTCGGGCAACGCAACGCAATGTAATGCATTGTGTAAAAAACAACGCAATGCAACGGAACGTGCAACACGCGTGGCCTTCGGGCAACGCACCGCAATGCATTGTGCAAGTTGCAACGCAAACGCGCAACTAACAGCCAAGGCCCCGATAGTTCATGATTGTCGTGGTCGTGGTGGTCGTCGTCGTGGTCGCGGTCGCGGTCGTCGTCGTCGTCGTCGTCGTCGCCCTCAAACCTCATCTTGGATAGCGGTGTTGCGGGAACTGTTATCTGACACATCCAAGCGCCTCAATGACAGGGAGATGGGAATGAGGCGAGGGAGGCGGGAATGGGTTCGTCAGCTCTAAATTCGGGGATCGAGGATGAGGCGAGGAAGGCGCTAATACGGTGAGGGGGGCGAGGACGAGGTGAGGGAGGTGGGAATGGGGTGAGGGGGCAGAATGAGAAAGGTAAAGAACTGTCTCGCGTTCGAGGCATCCTCGAATATCTCTCAACTTCGATGCGTGACCGCATGTTCTCATTAAATCACTAAGCACTGTTGCCAAGGGCACCTCGTCTGCTCCAGGACTCCAGCAGGCAATCCTGTGAGCTCTACGGCAGCGCAACTCCTCTATTGATACGGCCCCCAGCCAACAAGCACATGGGCACTCGGCGGCCCTGCATGAACAGGCGCCTTGGCGATAGGCGCGCTCTTAGAAAGACAAATGAGATGCGTCGCAAGAATGTGCGGTGGCGGGGGGGTGCTCGGAGGGCGCGCAAACGCCATTGGCGGAGTCGCGGGCGCCTCGAAGGTTGCATGCTGCCTGGTCGGCGGGCGCATGCCGCCGATGCCGCCCACATGGCGGGTGCCGCCCATGCCCTCGTCACTCAGGATGGGGCGGTCCCCATTGATGGTGCCGCCCTTGCGGGTGCAGCCGCTGCCGACGTTGCCGCCCATATGGATGGTGCCGCCCCCATGGATGGTGCCGCCCATGCCGTAGCCCATGCCGTAGCCCATGCAGTAGCCCTTGCCCTTGCCGCCCCCATGGATGGCGCCGTCCTTCGCGTTGCCGACTGTCGGTATGTTGCCATCCACAATCGGCCTCCTGGCATGATTGGCCCCGTGGTCGTAGTTCGGGGCGGCATCGTCGATCCCGCGCTGCGGATGTGTAGCGCTGCAACCACCCCAACCCTCGTGGACGTGGTCGAGCAACTCCCCGTCGGGAACGACGGTGCCGACTGGGCCGTTACCACCTCCCCATCCCGAACCGCACCGCCCATTGTCGGGGACGCGGGGCCCGCAGCCGCCCGCGACGCCCATCACCGCGTTGCCATGCGCGCCGCCGCGGCCATCATAGCCCGCCGCCGCCTGGCCCTTACTGTCGTTGCCGCCCATGCCGCTTGCCCCACTGCCGCCATTGCCGCCCATGCCTTTATTCGCCGTGCCGCCTCTCTCCACGCCGTCGCAACCGCTCATCTGCATGCAGCCTCCCTTGCCGCCGTCAGTGCCAGTCCAGCCACACGTGGGCCCTGGCCGCCAGCCGCCAGCCGCCGTGGAACCATCGCCTCCCTGAGCGTCGGAAGCCGCGTCGCCGCAGCAGGCGTGGGCAGAGCTTCCCGTGCAGCCGACACCCCCGCCGCCCTTGATGTCGCCGCCGCCCCCCACCATGCCGCCCCGCCGGTCGGCCCCCACGGTCGCGTTACAAGCTGATTCTCACTGGCAGCCTGCACTGGTTTCGGCAAGACGCTGACGTACCTGGCGAACTCTGGGAGGCCCACTGCTTTTGTCACGTCGGACTCCCTACCTGGAAACGTAAAGCGTGAGCCCCCTGCTTCGTGGCGCCAAATTCCGCCGCCGCGTTGCGGCGAGGGCGTGATAGCACTTGGCCGCCCGCTGCGTTTACGCGCGAGCACCTGTTTGCCTACGATGCACATAGTTTGATAGCTGTCGCCAAAGACGATTTCTCCACGTGTCTGAGACCCCATCGGGGCCACTGCACTCCAGAGCCATGCTTGCAGACGCTGGCCCAAACAGCGATTTCTAGTATGCTCTGTGATGCAACCCATGTGGTGCAAGATGTGCGGCGTACGCGATGCGGTACCGTGCAGAGGCAGCAACGCACCTCACTGTAGCAGAACGCAAAACAATGCGATGCGATGCAAGACAATGCAAAGCAATCCAAAGAATTGCAAGGCAATGCGCATCAATGCAACGGCTATGCAAAACAACACAACTCCAGGCTGGAGCCATATCCAGACGAAAACACTGGATCATGTAATTTGCATTCGCTGGAGTCACAACCAGAAGAGACACGCGACCTTGTCATTTGCATTCGTTTGTCTCCTCCGCTCGTCTTTTGGGAAATCGCTGTTCAAACTTGGCTGTTGGACCCCTCTTAGGGCCCTCTTGGAGCCCTCCTGGACCCCTCTCGGGGCCCTCGTGGGGCCCCAAGAGGGGTCCTCTTGGGGCCCCAAGAGGGGGCCAGGACGTGTGCGTTGGGGGGGGTGGGTCCCGAGGTGCCCAAAGAGAGGGCCAGGAGGGCACCAGGAGGGCCCCGACAAGGCCCCATGACGCATGCACGTGGGCGCCCCTTATGGCAAGCCCCACAAACATATTAAGTGCATGCGGCTTGGGGTTATGTTGGGCCCCTCTCGGGGCACTCTTGGAGCTCTCTAGGAGCCCTTTTGGTGCCCTCTGGGTGCCCCCCGAAAGCGTGCGAGAGACATCCGAGGAGACTCCGAGTCATTCAAATTGTTCATTGTTTTTCTGCTCGTTTTCCCCCAACATCATTCTCCCCCAACTCCTCCTATCCCCCTGATTATCCTCCTCCTCTGTCTCCTCATACGCCTCCTTCCCTGCCTCATCATCATATGCATTATCCTTCTCCCCGCTCCCTCATCCATCCATCCAGCCTCCCTCTCCTCGCCCCTCCTTCGCGCGGTTCGGCGATCCCCTTCTTTGTCCCCGCTCTTCCCTAATCGCCTGAGCTCGCCCGGGCTGGAGGGGCTGGAGGGGGCGCGCGAAGCGTCGAGAATTCCCTCGCGCCTTCGTCACCCATTGGCAACTAGGGAGGGGGATGAGCAGGAGAGGGTGACAACGTTGCGGGGGTGCAAATGAGAAGCAGTACAGACGCACCGACTAGAAGGCAAAGGTTTTTGTAACACAAATAGAACCCAGAGTGTCAGCACTGTGTTTGAATGCCCAACTCACCCCCCTCTCCCCCGACCCCTCGATTGCATCCTGGGGCCCCAGAAGCGCCCTCGGAATCCGATCGGAAGCCCCTGGCGTGCGACCTGGGGGCGGCGGAGGCCGAAGGCCGCTGGCGACGAGTCCTGCCACGAGGTTTGATTCGTGAGCAACCCAATCTTGATCAGACAGCCTTCGGGCCATGTTGGTGAGCTCCGCCAAATCGTGAACTGACAGGCGGCCATGTGCCATACCTGCAAAAAGGGCAGAGTAGAAGAGTCGCATCCCTGAATGCTCTGCTCTGAGCACTAAAAGGGTACGGACAGGGGAAGTTGACACGGACGGGCATAAATCACCCCGTCCCAGACGAAACGCAACTTCTCAATCTAGCCGCGGCAACGCACACATCGTTCAAGCTGCGTCCAGCCGCGGGGACGAGGGGGCCCCTGAAGGCCCCTCCACCAAAAAAGTCGAATCTCAAGTCTAGGGCGCCTTCGGCCTTGGACGCGAGGCAAGAGAGCAATGCCAGGATACACAGTTCAATGACCTCGGACCTCGGCCCTCCCTCGAGCGCAAGGGATGCGTGGTAGATGGGCGGCATGGTGCTATAGTTCTGCCACGTTGGGATGCAGGGTGCATCTCGGAGGCACGAGGAACATGCACACTTTGGCATGCAACACGCTTGGGGCCTGGTGGACGGGCCTCTTGGACTCGCCCC